CCCCCCCCCCCCGCCCCGCCGCCACCAGGAGTGCTGCCCGGGGAGCGCCTACAGCATCGCCGCCGACTGCACGCCCAGCGCCAGCGTCGGCGCCACAGCGTTCCCCTCCGTCAACACGGTGGACTCGAACGGCGACGGCGTGGCGTCATCGGTGTCGTTGAACGGCGCCATCGCTATCGCCGACAACATCGGCCTGCACGACCCCCCGGCGGCGGCGGACGACGTCTTCGTTTCCGTCGGGATCCCCCCTACCGCTAACACTGAGAGCGTGGCGGGGACTGCCGACGGCAAGGGGCAGGGCGAGGGTGACGCCGAGGGATCTGAGCTCCATACCCGGTCCGAGAGCAGCGTAACGCAGCCCGTGGACGCAGCCGCCAGCGGCGGGGCGTGCGGCGAGGGCGACACGGGGGCGGCATGCGAGGTGAACAGGGTAAACAACACGCCTAGCGCGGAGACGGAAGCGTACGGCCGGTTCGAGCACCACGCGGTATCCGCAAGCGCGCCTGAGCCTCAGAGCCCCCCGCGGGTCGGGTCAGTCCCGAGAGTCGTGCGAGAAAACTCGATGCCCGGCACGGACGTGGAGTAAACCAAGCCGGGCAGAGGCCAGACAAAGGCCTAGACCCGTGCCGCGTTGGCTTGGCCTTGTGCTCGGCGTGCTTTCTCCGTTAGAGGTGTTGTGTGTGTGTGTTTTTTTTTTTTTTTTTATGGTGAGAGTGTGTGAAGAGAAGAGAAAACGATTTGTGAACCCAGGCAGTTATCCCGGTCACCGCGACCTCCGCCCACCCACAATCACCCCCCCNCGGAAAGGTCAAGATTGAAAGAGTTGCAGTTGGCACCGAGGGGAAAGACCTTGCTTTACCTTACCTGAGTTTTCATGTTTTTTTTTTTTATTTTTCTCGGCTGCTGCTGTGCTTTTGTGACTTGTTTTCCCCTAGTTTTGAATCACTCCGGGTCCGATAATGGTTGAAATGTCCACGCACGAAGTGGGAGCTAAAGCCTCGCAGGAGCTAGTGCTCACACATGACTCATGAATCCAGCACTCAACTCGAAACCCAACTAATGCTTGTCGGATGTAGTGCGCAGCGGACATGGGGGGGGAAGGAGGGGGGGGGGGCAGCAGCGGGAAGATTGAATCACTGTTACAGCTGCTGCCCTTTTTCCGAATGCAGATGAGGTGCCTGGACTTTACGCATAGGGAGTAACCGCATGGAGTCAGGTGCCCCAGTAGTTGTTTTCGGAATGATTTAACCAAGGATGGCGATCCCATTGAATCGTTGAATCGGGTCCTAGCAATTCATAGGTCCCTTGTGGGGATCGTGCGAAAGTACGTACCAGTTGTTACGAGGGCGCTTTCGAAAAGCCGGAGAAAGAAATTATTCCTCGCAGGTACAGAGAAACCCATGGCCACCGAGTAAAAGGGTTTCGTTACAAGAAGCCGTGGCGCGTTTGTGCCAAAATAGTTGGTGGCTTGGTTCGGGCAGGGGGCGTACCAGCCGTCAGCGGGAGGGGAGGGGTGGGGCGCGGGGGGTTAGTTTTTGCACGTGCTCTGTTGTATTTTGCTGGGTCGCTCATTGCAAAAGGCGATGTGCGGCGGAATTGTGTGGTAGAAAGGGAAGGGCGCGATGGATGGAACCCTAACCTAGCCCCTTCCCCCCCCAACACCTGTCATCTGATTTTTTTTGTGGTGGTTTGGGTGTCCAATTAGGCAAACCGTGTAAGGTCAGGTCGGACTGCGTCCTCGACGCGGTTGCTTCTGTCTCCAAAGGGGAGTTGTGCTTGGCTTGTTTGGCTGATGCTCGCCTCGTGTTCGGTAGTGAGGTGTTTCCGGTTTTGGTAGCGGAGATTCAAACGTTGCCGCGAGGGCGCGTGGTGCGTGCGAAAGAGCTTACACGCGAAAGCTCTGTCGTCCTTTCGTGATGTGCGTAGGCATTTGGAGTACGGCCGAGCTCAGAAAAATGGCTCGGTGGGGGGTGGAGGGGGGGGGGGGGGGGGGGGCACACACAC